TTATGTAATAAAGTACCAGATGATTCAGTTTGTCGGGTGGACAGAACGGACCAAGTTCAAGATGCAAAGAAGACTGAGAAATTCCACAGTCAACTGATGCAACTTAAAGCAGCCAAGGAATCCTGCAGTGTTGCTATGGAGATGGACTGGCTTGTTTGAAATGAAGACTGTTTGCCATGTTCTTAGGAATTAAGAATCTTCTGAATTTGAGAAAGTGTTGGGACAGAAAATACTTCATGTAACTAAGTGCGCTATTCAGAAGCTGAGAGATCATTTTTTTGTACTTTGTTTTTGAATGTTTACTTTAGAGAGGTAGGAATGTAAATGCTTTTAGTTAGCAAGCTTTTATTTATTTTTGGAAAATGAACAAGAAATGTGGCTATTTTGGAAACTTTCTGCAGATTATTTGATGCTGGGCAAAATATACAATTACTTCTTTTGGCAAGTTTGTATCAATAATTAAAAAATGAGATATCAAGAAAAGCCTATTCTTCCTTAAGTTTATTCATCTTATAAAGTAAATATAACCATTTTGCTGAACTGATAGATTTCTTTTGGGGCATAAAGTTTGTGCAGTTGACAACCAACAAGTATGAAATATGGTACTTAGACTTAACTGTGCACAGTAGTATACCTGAGTATGTACAGTAGTGCAGTCTCAATGTATGTAAAAGTAATTATGAAAACAAGTATGCTTTATTTTGAACTTTCCAAATTTAAACTATATTTTTGAATACAAGGGCTTCATAGTATTATTAGCTTGTTGAGCAGTCTGAGTTTTCAGCGTTCAAAACACATGAACAGGATGATCACTGATGGTCCGAAGCCAGCATATTACAGGACATTTGTCACATATTTCCAATGTACAGTTTCTCAGAAAGGCTAAGGATTGTGTGACTGTTAAATCTTTGCATGCCTCTTGGACACCCCTGCCCATTTCTCTACTTACTAACTAAGGCGTTAAGTGTGATTGTCACAACTGTTATGCTTTCCGCTAAACCAGAAGTATGATATTATTTGCTGTTCATTTTACATTTGTAACCTGAATTTTACCACCTAAGTGTAATGTTCACATGTTGATTCCTGCACTAAAATGTTTTTTTGTTAAGAATTGTCATGTTGAGCAACACTTTGATATGGAAAGTTCCATTAGCCAGATGAATTTTGATATGTTTCAGGGAGATCAATACATAAAATATTACGTATATATTGTTTCTCTTGAAGTTTTTAACTTATGTTGATGGCCAGGTTCTCTTCTTGTCTAAGGAAAGTAATCAACTAGTGTAGGGTTCAAAAAAAAGCGTTAAGTACTGTATAATACTTACACAGAAAAGTCTTAGTCACTTTAGAAAATAGTGTTAGTGAATATTCATTTACTCCCTATCTCTGTCAAGAAATATAATCAGCATCCCAGAGGCCCATCCTGTGCTCTCTCACTTCCCTTTTATTATTTATTTCATTATAATAATCCATTATTCATTATGACCCTATTATCACAGGGTTTTAACACCCTGTGGATACTATTTTTTAACCTCCATGCTACTCTGCCTCTTTAGAGCCCTCAAACACAGAGCTAGTGAGGGTTAGGGATCTTGGGTTTTGTTTAATCTACCTGTCCCCCTGATTTTGTACATGAGTTCAGAGGGGGAAATGCCTTGATCAAAGTCTCACAGAGTCACAGACTCTGAGTCTCCGCTTTCCCAGTCCAGTGCTCTTTCTACTGCCTGACGACTTCTTCTCAGCCTTCTACAAATAGGACCCCGAAGCTGCCTTCCAAGTCAGTCCCTGGGAGGTAAGTCTCACCCACAGCCAGCCTTACCTCGTCGTCATCTGTGAGCGGCGGCCCCTTCGCTGCACCTGCCGGTGCTTTATCATTATGTTCCAAGGGTTCTGTGGGGACCAAGGGGGCAGAAGTCACCGAAGTCTGTGACACTGGGGTGAAGGTGGTGGGTGGATATGAGGTTAAACCTAGACAATCCTGCTTCTCAGGTGCTTTCACCAGCTCTCCCATCGTGGGTTGGGGGCAGGGGGCAGTGATTGGAAGGCCCTGCCAGGGACCAGGGAGAGTCCCCTGCCTCAAAAGTCCCGACCCCACCTTTTCAGGAACAGTTGGAGGAAGGGAATCAGTGTTTACTGAGGGCCTGCCTACTCTGTGGCAGATGATATATATGCTGGGCACTTCACCCGCATTTATATCCCATCCCCGAAACAACCTTATGAGGCAGATACTAATCATCTCCGTTTTATAGAAGAGGAAACTGGAGCTCAGGGGGGTTGACAGGCTGGCTCACGCCACTCAGCGAGGAGGGCAGCACCAGAATTTGAATCCAGGCCGTCGGACTGCGAAAAACGCCAACCCCCTCGGCAGAACCAGCCACCGCGTTCCCTCGCCCGCGGGCTAGGGTCCCGGGAACCCGAAGCCCTGCCGGCCCGAGCCCAGGCCCGGCCCAGTGGCCCTGGGGCCAGTCTTACCGTGAGAACCAGCTGCCCCGCTGCACCCGAGTCTCCCAGCTCCGGGCCGCCCCGCTCTGCCCCGCCGGGTCCCCGCGGCTGCTCGGCATCGCCAGTGGCCCCCATCGCGCCCCGGACCCTCACAACTCCGGGCCGATTCTGCCAGTGGGCCGGAAAGTGGCTTCGTGACGTCATTGGTACGCGCGGTCGCCTACCTGCAAGCGCGACGCGGCGAGCTGTGGGGTTACCATGGGAACCAACTGCCGCGTCTGCGAAGAACTGAGACCGTCCGAGGCCGCGGCGGGGGCCGGGGGAGTTGAGACTGGAGGTGAGGGGCGGGGCTTCCTCTCGGGAGGGGCCGCGTCTCGGGCGTGGGCTGGGGGGGTTCAGTCCAGAACCGATCTCCGTCTGGAGAAGTGTGAGGCAGAGGGAGTGAAGCAGGTTTTCAGGGGTTGGGGTTAGGGAGCGTAGGACAGCGTTTCGTATTGCGGCGCCTGCAGTTCAGTTTTTGAAAACTGTAGATTTTAATGTAGCCGGTACTCTGCCCCCGGATTGGAGTGGTCTAATGCGGCGACCCGGCCAACCGACCACAAGAGGCTTATGCCGTCCCTAGCACTCACCCGCCGGGTCTTTCCGGCCCTGGAGCCGAGGGGCTGCTCTTGGGTTTGAAGGCATCAGAATGAAGGTTGGGACTTGGACCGTGGATTCCAGCAGCCCCAGGGAGCTGGGCTTCTCTCCCCAGAGTGGTGATTCCGGGATGGGCCGGGATGCGCCGGGATGCAGGGGTTTAACAGCTGTGTCAGTCCCCAGAGCTCCCCTTAGCTCTTCCTTAGAGGTAAGACGGCGCTGAATAGAATTGGATCGATTTATGAGTGGTAGAGGAAGTTAGTTTTTCCAGGTCACAATATATGGTAGTAGGAAGTACATGAGTTTCGCAGTTAGAAAGATGAGCTCAAGTCCAGTATGATACGGTGATTCAAGAGCTGTGGATCTGGACTGCCTATCTTTGTTTTACCATTTACTAGCTGTGTGACCCACGAGTCTTTCTGTGCTTCGGTTTTCCCATCTGTAGAATGGGTATAATGGTAATAAACTCATAAGGTCGCAGTGAAGATTGAGTTAATTTATGTAAAGCGTTTAGAACTAGGGTACAGCTCTGACTGGTGTGACTCAGTGGATTGAGCGCTGGCCTGCAGAGGGAAACGTCACTGGTTGGATTCCTGGTCAGGGCACATGCCTGGGTTGTGGGCCAGGTCCCCATTTGGGGGCATGTGAGCGGCAACCGATTTGGTACAGGAAAACCTTTGAACAATGCTGTCATCACATTAATATTATTAAATTCCAACAGCCACCACTTACTAGCTTTATGACTTTGGGCAATTTTTCTTTGATCCACTTTTCTTTCTTCCTTTCTTCCTTTCCTTCCTTTCTTGTTGTTCAAGTACAGTTGTCTCCATTTTCCTGCCACCACTCTCCCCTTCCCCACTGACCCCCACCTCCCACCCTCAATCCTACCCCTCTTTGGCTTTGTCCATGGGTCCTTTATTCTGAGGCACTTTTCTTATCTCTGCAAGATTATTGTGAGCATTAAAATAAACAATGTATATAAAGCACATAATAGGTTATTAACAAATGTCAATGATCTCCATGCTCTAGAGTGAGCCTTAAAACAATAAGGCAACTTCCTAGCACCAAACTCTTTAGTGCTATTAAGGAGGTTTTTACCTTGAGCCTTGAATGTTTTCTCCCCTTTAATCTCTCTGGACTAAGCAATGCCAGTGGACACTATTAGGTATCATGACTTACCAAAGTCATGGACAGATAGACTATGAAATAGAGTAAGAAATAAAAAGAAATAGACTAAGAAGAGATAAATAAGGGGAGTACATATGGTTTAGACTACTTGAATCATAGCAACTATTCTTTGGGGTTCTATCAACTAGCCTTCAGACAGTCCAAGAATGGCCTGTGTGGGCCAGAGAGACCAAGATGTAGGTTTTGGTACATTTATATTAAATCTTAACAGACTCAAATATAGCTTTTCTTTAGATTTTTTGATAGTTTCTAAGTATCTCTTCCATTCTCTGTTTTCTAGGTTGCTAGGATGAACAGAAGCCACAGTGCATTTTATTGGCTTTGGTGTTTTGTTTTTTAATTAGCTCATGTCTCCGGTCCTTCCCTCTGTCATTTCAGCTATAGCTGTGTCCTTCCAAGGCCCTGAGGCCTCTCTTTGATCCCTGATCCAGCGGCCCTCCCTCCGTGTTCCCAGGTTTGCCATCATTGTCCAGGGCTGTCGTGTATTGCACATCACAGAGTTTGGTCATCACCATCACCTGTGTCCTTCGGTACTGCCAGGAATTTTCCCACACACCAGCAACCAATCATTTTTCTTCTTGTCAGGAGAAGCCATCGTCAGGGATTATTGCGAAAGGGAAGATTTGGGGCTGGGTTTAGGCCAGTCTCCCAGTCCTCCCTTTCTCCCAGTTGATACTCTGGGCAAAGTAAACACCACTGGCCTGACCCACGCTCTCCTCTCAGCTCTCAGCATCATCATCATGTTGAGCTGCCTCTTCCTCCTGAAGGCGCTTCTTGCTCTTGGGTCCCTGACATCCTGGGTGACTGCTAGAGCGCACGGTAAGCTGTCATTTGGGATCCCTGGCTATCGTAACAGAAAGTACCTAGAGAAAGCGTCCTGGCCTCCCGCCCAGAGTGAGAGGCCTTATTGGTGAAGATATTCATCTCTGTAGGACGGGACTGGGTGCATAGTTTCTCGGTACAGCCAGGGTGGGTTTTCCTGGCTTTCTTTACCCTCTCGGGGCAAGGAGATAGGACTTCCATTCTGGCTTTCCCCTATAGTTTCTTTCTTTAAAAAAAAAAAAAGATTTTATTTATTCATTTTTAGAGGGGAAGGGAGGAACAAAGAGAGGGAGAGAAACATCAGTGTGTGTTTGCCTCTTGTGTGCCCCCTACTGGCGACATGGACCAAAACCTAGGCACGTGCCCTGACTGGGAATGGAACCAGCGACTCCTTGCTTTGCAGGCTGACACTCAATCCACTGAGCCCCATCAGCCAGGGCTCCCCTAGAGTTTCTTAAATGAGAACAGAATCACCCCAACCTTTTTCTCTCTCTCTGCAGAATGGCTGTTCCTTTAGTCACGGGTGTGTGTGGGGGAGGGGGTTGTGAGGGTGGGGGCGAACGTGGCAGCAGAGATATTTTAGATAGGAGCGTTTGGAGAGGCTGAAAGTTGTTGGAGTACATTTCTCTTCCCTTCCCTGTTTTGCGAGGCCTGGCCAGTTAGCCCAACCTCACGTGATGCCTTTTGCAGTGAAAGAAGGAGAGTGCCCTCCTGACGAGAACCCGTGCAAAGATCTGTGCCAGGGGGAGGGATCGTGTCCGGCTGGGCAGACGTGCTGCCGCACGGGCTGCAGCCGGGCCTGCCAGGGAGCCTTTCCGCAGGGTACGATGGCTCGGCGGGGGTGGGGGAGGCAAGATCCTGAGCTGGGCTGGAAAGACCCCGAGAGAGCTTCCTGCCTCCTCGATGGGCTCTGGAAGTCTAGCTTGCGTAGAGCACCTCTTCTTTCTCCTTTTGGGGTCTCTTCTCCTTAACCCACTCAGTGTGCCCAGATCTTTGTCTCCTATCAGTAAAGAACACGAGACTGATCATCTCAGTCTTTTGCTTTGAACCCAGGGTGCTTGTGCAGGCTGTTGGGCAAAGGTGTGAAGGGAAGCCCATTTAAGATCCCAGTGAGAAGAGTAAACCCTAGAGCCAGGCAGACCTTCTTAGGCCTTAAATAAGGCTTAACTGGCTCTTTTAAGTGCTTTTTAAAATGATTTTATTTTCTTTATTTTCAGAGAGAGGAGAAGGGAGGGAGAAAGAGAGGGAGAGAAACATCGATGTGTGAGACGCACATCCATCGTTTGCCTCCGGCACATCCCCCCATGTGCCCCAACAGGGAATCGAACTGGTGCCCAATCCACTGAGCCACACCAGCCAGGGCTAAGTTTTTAAGGCTCAATTTCCTCCTCTCTGAAATGGGGTAATTGTTTGTACCCCACAGAAATGCTGTGAGGACCAGATGAGAGTCACAGGTCAAGTCAGTAAATGCTACAGGGAATGCGAGCTGTCCTCCTTGTTGTCACTGTCTCTGCTGGTAGCTCCGGGGTGGAGAGTCCTCAGTGAAGCTCCCCCTGATTTTTCTGGTTGGCAGTGCTTGTGGGCGTCCCTGGGCACCCTTGCCTCTTTTTTTGTGGCTGTCTGCCTTTCTGCTACAGGGAGAAAAGGGGATTGCCCCAGGGTTGATTGTTTCAAACAGAAACAATCCTGTTTGAAGAGGTGCACCACTGATGACACATGTCCAGGTGTAAAGAAATGCTGCAGGTCTGGCTGCGACAAGAGCTGTGTCGCCCCCATATCTAAGCAGAAGCTGGGTAAGAAGCACCGCACTGTACCCCATCCCACGTTCTGGGTGGCCTCCTTGTTTCTCAGATATGCACACACTGTCTTGTTGGTTTTACTCTACTCTGAAAAAACACGATGAAGCAGCTCCTATATCCTGAGATCTTTTCCAAGAAAAGATCTAGGAAGGTTCCCAAGCCAGGGAGGTGGTGGAACGTGGCCTGGGCAGGCAGAGGAGGCCGCTAGAAGGGAAATCTTGGCGTATCTGCATTTGCAGGCAGATTTGAAAGCTTTTGGGCAATTTCCAATTCCTGTTGTCAGTTGCAGTTGCAGATTGTCTATGAAAATCTTAGCTTGAGAAGCTGCAGAGAATTAGCAAAAAGGACGTCGTTACCTATGCAAGACAGTGCACATTTTTCCACTCACTTGCTTCTGAGACTCTGTGTCCCCTCTGTCCACACTTAGGATAGCCGTCTCCTGTTGGAAAGAGGTGCTATTTTTTTTAATCCCCACCTGAGGACATACTTATTGATTTTTGAGAGAGGGGGAGGGAGAGAGAGAGGGAGAGAAACATGGACATGAGAGAGAAACATCGATCAGTTGCCTCTTGTACATGCTCCGACCGGGGATAGAACCTGCAACCTCGGTATGTGCTCTGGCAGGGAATCAAACGCACGACCTTTTGGTTTACAGAATGATGCCCCAACCAAGTGAGCCACACCGGCCAGGACAAAGCAGGTCCTATTTTATTCTGATTCTGGTAGAGAGGTGTTTGAAAGAGATTTCTTCTTCCTCTTACAGGGTCCCTCTGACCTAATTCTCTATTTACATATGATTTCTTTAACAAATATTTATTGAGTGTTCACTATTTGCCAGATCCAGTGATGGGTTCTTGATACCTTGTGGCAAACAAAGTAGACTCAGTCCCTGCCTTTCTGGAGCTCATAGACTAGTGGGGGAGAAAGAGGCTTAACAGATAAGCATGCAAATAAATATTAATTTCAAACTCTGACAAGGACACAAGGAAAATTAAAGGGTGCTGAGAGATAGAATAAAAGGGCACTCATTTTATTTTAGTTGATTTTATTTTCTCAGAGAAACATTTTATTTACTAGATCACCAGTCTATTGTGAAACAAGGCACCCACACAGATTGTGGGTGGTCGAGGAAGGCCTGTCTGAGGTAGTGACATTTAACCTACGACCTGGAGTTGAAGTTAGCCAGGCCAAGGGTGTGATGAACATTCCAGAATAAGAGAAGCAAGTGCAGAAGTCGTTAAGCTGAGAAGGAGGTAGCTGCATCTGAGAACCTGAAAGGAAGCTGGTATGGTCTGAGTAGCGATGGGGCGGGGGTGGGGGGGAGCAGAGAGAACGATCCCAGGTGGGGATGGAGTAACTTTAGACCAGGGAGGTGGCAGTGGGCATGGAGAAAGGTGGCAATGAGAGAATCTGGAGGCAGAAGTGATAGCACTGTCTGCTTTATTCCTCGGCTCCTCCCCATTCCCTTGAGAGGCCCCCAGAAGGCCTTAGAAAGTGCTGGTGTGTCTCCCACGGCCGCCCCTTCGTGTTTCCCTTCATTTCAGCATTGCCACAGCTACTTCTGCTTGCTTGTGCTTCCAAATACATTTTATTATTGTGTTGTCTATTCCCCAGTCCCCGCAAATACTGAGGCTGCTTATATCAGAGAGGTGTTCGATATTTTTTTATTGCTGTCTCAAACGGGATCTTGCGCTATGTCTTCCATTATGTTTTCTAAAGGAATTGGAGCTGTTCTCTCCTCTGAGTATACATCGCAGCATATTACAATGAAAACACATAGGTTTTGGTTGTCAGAGATCTGCGTTCAAGCCTGAGGCTCACCAGCTACTGGCCAGTGGGTCCCAGGCCAAGATTCTTCCACTTTTCTGAGCCTCAGTTCCCTTCGCTGTAAACTGGAAATAATAAACCGGGAAGGTGTTATAGCGATTCAAATTATGTAAAGTGTTTGGCCCTCACTATACATTGGCTCTCTTCCTCTTGCCTCTTACGGTGGGCTTTGTCAGGGGTATGATTTCTAACCAGCCCCTTTGATCAAGAACCAGGATCATCTTCTCCTCCCCTACTCACATCTTCTCTGAGACCCCGAAACTCCTCCACAACGTGTGACAACCTCTTTCCTTCCAGCCAGACCTCCCCAGGTAGCAGCCCCTTCCCATGCCCTGCAGGGCTGCCTGCCTGCTTAGGCAACTCTCTCGGGCAGCCTGCCCGTAAGACAGAATAGAGGGCTGTACTCCCTGCCAGGACTCTCAAGACCCAGCTCTGGAACGAGAGCCTGGGAATCTGTCTCAGGCGGGTCACCCACTGCCAGCTTGCACGGCCTGGTACAATCTGCCCAGTGTCTGAAGCTGATGGCTGCATCGCCAGGGCTGAGGAGGAGGCTGGCCCCCCAGCAAGGCATCTTTGTGAGCTGCCCTGGGCCCGGGCCAGCCCACATGGGGCTTCCGCTTCGCTTGGAGCTGGGCAGGCTAGAATAGTGACCTCCCAGGGCCCACCCCTGGGTTCTTAGTCTGGTGAGAGCGATACTGGCTGCTGCATTGGTAGTGAACTGCATTTCTATAGTCCCAGTCCTAGAGGATGGCTGGGCACTGGCTCAGCGGGGGCTGGTTGCTACCCCCAAGCCCGCAGGAAGCTCCCCTTTCTGGGCTGCAAACAACTGCTGCTTTCCCTTGGCTCCGGTAGTAGTGCCAGAGGCCTGGCATAGCACATGGTGCTCCGTTTGGTGGGGTGGGGGGTCAGGTCGCCTAGGCCACAGGGCAGATGCTGGGACCTGCTCCCAGGAGGCAGTTCTGGTCTGAGCATGGGTCCGCATCCTGGTGTCTCTGCTTGCTTGCTGTGTGGCCTTGGGCAAGTCCTTCCATCTCTGAACCTCGCTTTTGTCGTCTGTAAAGTGGAGGGAAGGGCATTTACCTCAGAGTGATAATGCGACTCCTTAGTCTCTTTGGGCAGCTATAATGGAACGGACTGGGTGGCTTGTAAACAACAGGAGTTTATTTCTCACAGTTCCAGGAGCTGAGAAGTCCAAGGTCAAGGTGCAAGCAGACTGAGTATCTGGTGAGGGCCTGCTTCCTGCTTCATAAACGGCCGCCTCTCTGCTGTGTCCTCACGTGGCGGGAGGGCAGTACGGGCACTAATATTCCTGAGGCGCCACTGTCGTGTCCTAATCGTCCCCAAAGGCCCCATTTCTGAATCGCATCATGCTGGGGGTTGGGTTTCAACATCTGATTTCTTGGGGCACACAAGCGTTCTGTGTATGTCATGCAGTTGAGAAGAGATGCATTTTAGAAGCCTGCACAAAGGCTGCCAAGTCATGCTCCATAGCTCATAGTTATGGCCAGCACCCCTCCATTCAAGTTCCCTCCCGCCGGTCTGCGGTCTGACCCGTCTCTTCTCTCACTCACTTACTCATTTATTCAATTCCTGCCTAGTGCCTCCCGCACTTGACACGCGGGCATCTCCTGGTGACCCAGGCAGCCATGGGTCCCTGTTCTCATGGTATGAGAGACAGGAAATAATCATCAACAAGTAATAATGAGCACAAGTTGTGACTAGTACTGTGAGGGAAAACAAAGAGAGGTATAGAGGAAGTGTCGTTTCTACTTGGAGAGCGAGAGCTGGCCATTGGGCCCAGCACTATGAAGAGGGAGTGGCACTGGCAGAGGCTGTGTAAGGAGCAGTGGGGGGCGGGGACAGTGCACTGTTTTTCAGGAGGCGAAGGAGGTCCCCATGTTTGGATGGAAGAGAAGGGGGGAGGTGGTTCCGGTTGAGGCAGAGCCCAGACTTTGGGGAGTCTATGGGGCCGCTCTCTACAGCTTCATTATAAGTGCCATGGGAAGGCCTGGAGGGGCTTATACAAACAGGAGGGGCCAGTCCATTTTCATTTTAAAAAGCCGCTCTGCGGGTGCGGGCGCGTGAAGAATGGACGGAGCAAGTGGAGAAGATGGCAGGCCATTTAGGAGTCACTGTGGCAGGCTGGGCGAGATGACCGTAGCTCAGGCCAGCGTAGGGACGGTGCAGACAGAAAAGCGGCAGACGTGGAGCACTCTCGAAGGCAGCGTTGGCAGGACTGGGTGAAGGAGGAAGGGGATGCGGGTGTTGAGGGAGTATTGAGATCGGTGCTTGGGTGCCCTGTGTGAGCAGTTGTGGGTTGGAGGTGCTTCTTACTGAGGAGGAGCAGCTGGGGAGGAGGGGGTCTGGGAGCGCAGGTTTGGATTACGGCCTTGGAGCTGTCTCCTCTGGCTCCCTCAGGGCCCTCCTGCCGAGGCTGCGTGAAACTTGACCACGCCCAGTGCCCTGTGCCCTCTGTTTTGACAACGTGCGCATGATATCTTTTGTGTGGGCTGATGGCACAGCTCCGGTGTAAACCTTTTTCTGAAACCTCACGGCTGGCTGTCACAGAAAAGAGCCTAGCGGGCCGGAGAGCGAAACTCTTGGAATGGCCTGCTCACGAGGCTGGCCTTGGCTGGCTTCTGGGAGCTTGGACTCTGAGAGCTACTGCAAGCCTAACCGATGAGAGCGTCGCAGTGAAAACCTTGAGTTTAAGGAGCGTCCCTGGTAGATGGCACTTCCATGTGCTGTCATCCACCCTGGGTGGCTGTGCTGGGAGAGGACCCCTGGAAGCTGGCATCTGGTTGCCCCTGGACTTGGCCTCACTTCTCTCTGATGATTTTGCTTTGCATCCTCAGCTGTAATAAATCAGAGCCATGGGTACAACAGGGTGACACAGGGGCTTGCTTATGTCTTCCTCACCCCTAGAATTGTCTACCACCGGGTCCTCTCTTTTGGCAGAACTGAGCTGAGAGAGTCCCAGCGCTTGCTGATTTTTTGGGGGGGTGACCCTTTTGGAGCTGCTCTGGGCCCTTGTGGAGTAGGGGATCGTGGTGATGTGGTTTCAAGGGCACCCCTAGAGCTGGGGGCCTGGGCCCCCATTCTGCCATCATTGCTCTCAGGTCAGCCCCTCACCTTTCCTGGATGCCTGTCTCTTTGCAAGAGAAGAGGAGCAGGCTTAGTAGTTCAGAGGGCCCTGCAAGGCTGGAGACATCTTGGAATTTCACTTTGCCACCGACAGTTGCCCTCCTCCCAGGACCAGTGTAGAGACCCAACCTCTACTCGCTTCCAGTGGCCGAGTGGCCCTGGCATCCGTCACTCCAGGGCCACGCTCAGCACGGTGGCGAGACGTGAGAAGCGTGCCGCTGCCTGCACCCGCTTTCTAGGGCGCGTGGCGTAGCTCCACGAGTTTACGTTGCTGGGGTTTTCTCACCAGGGAGAGTTAACTGTGGGATAAAAGGCTTTGTTCTTTGTTAAACAGATTTCGGTGTTGGCCAAGCAGGTGGGGAGGTGTGGGGAACCACATCGGGTGGTTCTAATGATGTATATTCTGAATAAAGGAAAATCAGGACACACAGTTTTGATGGGACCTGACAATGGCATAGAATAATCGACATGGGAGCTGTTCAGGGAAGCCCTGGGATGCAGTGTGACCATACCTTGACCGTCCGGCTGCTCGTGTTCTCTCTGGAGGCGCCAGCACTCGCTTTTTCCACCATGAAGACTCCTTGCAGCCAGCCCATGTGACTGTACTTGCACGATCTTACAGGCACTGCGCCAGACCTGCTTTGGTCGCCTCCAAAGCCTTTAATTGCCTGTCATTTTTTTCCACTTAAAAGGCTTGAAATAACTGAGATGACTGAGTCACGGTGAGTCAGTTTGGTTTGGATGTGACTTCTCTGGGTGTGCCTGCTCCCGGGGAGCCGGCCCGGTGCCTGCGGGCTCCCAGGACAGGGCAGTAGAAAGAACGCTTCCCAGTCCACCGCGAGGCTGAGCTCGGTCCTGCTTTGCCTCTGACTCACTCTAGTTCTGGGCAAGCCCTCCTCCCCTCTGGGTTTCGCTCTCTTCACAGGGGCGGTGACGGGGCACATCAGGAGTATGTGTCCATCCGTGGCAGAAAATGAGCCAAATAGGGGTTCGTTTTGCTCACATAACAAGAAGTCCTGAAGTGGGTGCTGGGGCTGGGTGCCAGCTCCGTGGTGCCAGCAAGGACGAGGCTCTTTCTCTCTTCCTCTTTGCAACTCTTGACTCTCTCCTCATACACGTTGCCTCCTAGTTGAGAGAAGACAGCTGTCCCTCTGTGGTCCTGTCTGTCTCTACACTGGAAGGAGACAGAAGTGAGGGGCAGTTTGAAAGGCATGCAGTCCTATCAGGAGCGCAAAAGGTTTCCCAGCTGTGTCTTAGTTTGTGGTCCCCCCCCTCATCAGAGAGGATTATGGGGAAGCAGATCGTTTTAGCTGGCTGGGCTCCCGGCCTCTCAGGACAGACCAGGGATTCTGTTAGCCACTGTTTCAGTTATCTGTCGCTGCATGCAAACCGCCCCCAAACTTGGTGTGGGCGAGCGGAGCAGCTCCCATCCCCGCATGGCGCAGCTGAGGTCATACTGCTGCATAGGGCCATGGGCTCAGTGCGGGGCTTGCCTGTGGCCCGGATGGCCAGGATGCCTCTGGTCCTCCCGGGTCTCTTTCAGGGGGCATGTTCCATTCCGTAGTCTGTGTAGCCCACGTGGCTACACAGAATGGTGGCCGGTTTCCAAAGGGGGAGTGTTCTCAGAGGACGGGCCCCACTACGCAAGTGCTTATCAAGCCTCTGGCGCAGCAGTCACGCAGGCGGATGTCCTGTTGGTTCAAGCAAGTCACGTGGTCAAGCCCAGAGGCAATCTGGGAAGGGGGCTATACAAGGACATGAATCCCAGGAGGTGGGGTTCATTGGGGGCCGCCAGTGTAGGTATGCACTCAGAAAGCAGGTCAGACCTCGACAGTGTTTTTAAGCTGCAAGTCTTGAAATGAGTTTAGTAGTTTATGACCTGTGTGAAGAAAAGAAAAAATAGAATGTAAAGTATCAGTATCGCATATACACGAATGCACCTCAGTATGTACATTTACTGTATGAACGTACACATGGGACACAACGAAAAATGCATTGTTGGACTCGAAAGTCACAATAAAAATAGCTGGAAACGCCGGGCCACAGCGCCTCTGGGCCCCTATGCTCTGATTCTGTGGCAGGGCCTGGCGGCGAGTGTCCTCCTGACCCCCTTCCGTGCGAGGAGCTGTGTGATGGGGACGAGTCCTGTCCCCCGGAGCATAAATGCTGCAGCACCGGCTGTGGCCACTCCTGCCGCGGAGACATTAAGGGAGGTATGTCGGCTCTTCGGGGAGGAAATCCTTGGGTTCCAGAGTCAGCCTGGGAAGGAGTCATCTGTGGCCTTCTTGTCCTCCCCTTCCTGGGAGGACCCGGAGTTCCCATCCTTCCTGTCCTGCCCCCTCCACCCAAAGCAGCCCCTCCTCCTGAGCCAGCGGCCTTGTCGGCATTAAATAATGAGGGGAAGCCCCCATTATTAAATAATGGGGTAGAAGGAGCAGTCCCTGGGCCGGGGGACAGGCAACGTGGCTTCTGGTCTTGGTTCTGCTGCTGGTTAGCTGTGACCTTGGGTGAGCAAACCTCTTTTTGAGCCAATTTCTTCATCTGTAAAATGAGAGTTGCCTGAGATCATGATTTTCTGACCTTATTCTTAGCACAGAGCTTCCCTGTCTCCAACATGAAATCTTAGTTGAAGCAACCTATAGACAGCAGATAAAAGCAATCCTGATCTGATTTCTTTGTTTTTTCAATATATTTTTTTAAGCAAATATGTATTTTGGGGTGTTCCTCTGGTGCCAGGCACCTTGGAACTCCATTTCTGAATCACCGGCCCAGATGTTGTCATTAGACAGCGTTTACATTCCTGGGCACCGATCAAGGTCCTTATATAGCATATAGCCTGTCAGGGAAGGTAGATAAATGAGTGGATTATAATAAAGTCTGATGAAGCAACACTATGAAGCCCATGTGTAGGGGCGAGGGTGGGGGTCTGGGAGCCTCGCTCCTTCTGCACTCTGCCCAGCCCCACCCCCACGCCCACGGAGGTGCCAACCCCCCAGGTACCCCGAGGGAGCTCCCTGGGGGACACTGTCTGAAAATGGTTGGTCCAGGTGCTCTCTTGGGACCCTACAGATTCTTAGATGCTCCAGTTTCAAGGTTTCCCAGCCAGATCTTCGGTTCAGGGATGGATCCACTGGGAGCCCCCATATCTGAGTCCCAGATGGCACTTGGGGTGGGTGGAGCCGACCACCCCGTGTCCCTCCCTGTGCCTGCTCTCCCACAGGGCGGAGCGGGGATTGTCCGAGCATTCTGGTGGGCCTGTGTATCGTTACCTGCATGACGGACGAGAACTGCCAAGCGGGGTACAAGTGCTGCAAGTCGGGCTGCGGCCGCTTCTGTGTCCCGCCAGTTCCGCCGCCCCAACTGGCCAAGTGCCCCAATGGGACCATCAGGGCCAGCTCTGAAGTAGGTGAGTCCAGTCCTCAGAAACAAAGGACATCACTGCTCTATGTGAAGCGCTGGCTTAGCGGCTGGGTAGGAGGCTGCAGAAGGCCGAAGCCTCTGCCGGGAGAGGCTCCTGGAGACAAAGATCGTATGTTTCAGATCGTACGTCGCAGAGCCCTTGCGTAGAGAGCATGGGCTTCTGGGCTTTCAGGGTGGCTGGGGCTCCTTGGGAAGGCCTTTCTGCCAGAAGTTGGATTTGACCTGGGCCCTACGGGCAAGGCAGGATATGACAGCGGGAGGGCAGCCCAGAGAACGTGCTGGACAGGTGGCCTGATGATTGGTAGCCAAGGCATGGAGGGTGGAGGGTATGTGACGCGTTTGGGGAGCCGGGGCCGGGGTGGGGTGAGAGTGGGTAAAGGGACAGACAAGCTGTTTTTATGACAGGAGGTACAGAGTTGACACCTGAACGAAAGAGTCTTCCACGCCAGTTTGCACTGGATTGTCCAGGAAGCAGGGAGCCAATTAAGGCCTCACAGAGCAATAAATGCTGAGCTTCTCTAGGGTGGAGGGAAATGCGCCTGGGAGCTGGAGCCAGGAGGGCATAGTTGTGACTTGGTGTTCCTTCTTCTTGCAGAGACCCCGGTGCCCAGCTGTCCCGAGTCGTCCTGAGCGTCTTTGGAGACCCCCAGGGGCTTGTCCTGGAGGCCAGAAGAGGATGGAGCCCTGGGGCTTGTGATGGCTCTCACTGCCCTCCTCGCTCTGTGTCTGTTCCTGCCGCCGCCCCGAGCGTGGGAAGCAGCCCTGGGGTTGGGCAGGGGGCGTGTGGTGCTTCTTATCCCCAATAAAAGCTGGTGCTGATCTTCTTGTCTGGACTGTTTGAGGACTACGATGGAGAAAGTGAGCTAGGGGGCCTGAGCGGGGCTGTGGGGCTGATTTGGGAAGGAGAGGTGATCCATTCTTTCTGAGAGCACCGGAAATGGGGGCTGGCTGGGGGTGGCTAGGGCGGAAGATAAGACTTGGGGTGACCTGCCGTAGTGTTGCTGTCAAACCTCAGGGGTGGGACAGTCAAGTCTCTTCCGGGGTCTGTTGACCTTTCTTTTATCAGAGAATGTGGGTTGGGGATGTAACTGGGCTGAGCGGCTAGTTTATTGTAGTCACTTGGACGTTCCCGCCTTGGGCCTCCTTCCTGGGGGGAGCAGCTCTTGGCACCAAGACAGGCAGTTAGCTCCTCCTGGTAGCTTTGCGGTAGGGAGGGGATATTTTAGGTGCTTGGAATCGAGATAACTTCTAAAAATTATGTTTGTATGTATGGAAAATGGATCGTATTCTGCATCTTGGAGATCTTTTATGTTATCACATACATTCTTTTAATAGAATTCATGAAAATAGCTAATTTAACTAGTCATCTCTTGTTGGCCATTAATATCCTTGCACCTATAAATCTTGACTGACTTTTGCAGGGAACTCTGGGTAAATTCTTAGTAGCAGAATTCTAGTTTTTTAAAATAGAGCCTGGCAAAAAATAAGCCCTCAATAAATATTTGTTAAATGAAAGGAGCGTAATTCTCAAGTCTCCCCATGAGGACTGTGTGGGGCTGTTGGGAAGAGGAAACCCAGCCCACAGCGGCGTAGCCAGTGAGGACGTTCCATTCGCTCCCATTGGAGCCTGGAGAGAAGCAGGGAGGCTAGTTCAGCTGCTCAGCCACAGCCCTAATAACCAGACTCACTCTTTCCTTTTGTTCTTGTGCAAGTCACCTCCTGGTGGGGGGTGGGGGGAGGGGAATGCTCGCTGCAGCTGTAGATGTCACAGCAGGAAGAAAGGGTGTGTAGAGGACAGTGTCCAAAAGACTCCCTCAAATAGTCAAATACCTCGAAAAGTTACCTCAAACGGTGCTCTTCGTTTAATGACAGAGGACGTTGCCCCAGAAGCCGCCCCCTCCCCAGACTTCCTTTCTAATCTCATTGGCCTGGCAAAGGGAAAAGGTGACTCAGATGAATCACGCTTCTTCCCTGAGGCTGAGGGAGGAGCTCACCTAGAAATAAAAATCGAGGTTCTGTGTATTACCAAGGAAGGTGAGAGTGCTTTGGGGGACAGGTAGGTAATGAATTAACTGTACATGCCATCGTGGGGCAAAGGACGTATGCAATTAACCATTGGAAAGAAATTGCTAAGTAGGCCGGACTGTTTTAACAAGGGGACAAAAAAAAAAAAAAGCAATTGGTGCTTAGCTTGAATAGTGCAAAAATGCTTTCAGGTGAGACATAACTAAAAAAATTTCCCATCACTGAGGCGGGGTTTTTTTTTTTTTTTTTGCCCCTTTTGCTGAATCTGCTCGTACATTTGAATGTGAAATTCTGGTTCCTGCTCAGTTGAGGACATGCATCTCTTTAAGTACAGTAGACACATATGTCCGTGTTGCCTGATCTGAAAAACAGAGGCTGGCCTGGGTCTGGCCGTGGCCTCCCGGGACGCCCGCGGCCCCAGGGCCGCGTTGCAGGGCACTGGGTGGTGCTTGTGTCTGTGTGAGAGGCTGCCGAACTTTTTGTCAGATTCCCATTTTTGTTTTTTTAATAAACAATAAGATGATAAGCCCTTGTTTTGCTTATCATCTTATTGTTTATTAAAAAACCCTAATGCATGCCCATAGTCAAATCAGTAAATAAGAGCTTTCGATGAAAAACAGCCATCAGGGAATCTCAAAATACTGCAAGATGGTTTTCTTCCAGGCTGGGGAGTGGGACTAGAGAGGAAGGTGTGAGCCTCAAGCAGCTCAGGCTGAGCACCACGGGAGGGGCCCTTTCCAGAACTTTCCGTCTCATCTGGGGCAGCGCACTGCTGTCCATGGTGAAGCTGCGGACCTACCTATAGGTCGCAATGACCGGGGAGGGAGCGAGAGAGAGTGTGAGAGTGAGCAAGCGCTAGCGCTGAAGGGCTGAATTTGGAATTTTGTTGGAGGAAGAGATCAAGGGTTGACAGAGGTGAGGGTGTTCGGTGTTCAGTGAAGGCTCAAGATCTATTTGAGCCCTGGCAGATGTGGCTCAGTTGGTTGGAGCATCGTCCCATAAACCAAAAGTTTGCCGGTTTGGTCCCCAGCTGCGCGTGTTTGGTCCCCTGTCCCACCCCTGGTGCTTATGATTCCTTGTCCAGGTACAGAAGGGAGGCAACTCATTGATACTCCTCTCTTGCATTGAATTTTCTTTCTCTCCCTCTCTCTCTAAAAGCAACGAAAAAATGTCTTCAGGTGAGGATTAAAAAAAAGACCTACTTTAAGTGGTGGGAAACTCAGATGCTAGTCTCCCCTAAGACCCTGGGCTCAGTGGTGTTTCGGAAACTACCGTGGGAGCAGCACTGGGCTGGTTCTGAGGGGAGTCTTTGCTGCGTGCCTTTATTTTCAGAGCCACCAGGGGGCAGCAGAAGTCTAAGTCATAGACCATTTCCGGGCGAGAGAAAGGAGGGGCGGGAACCCCCCCACAAACAATATTCTAGAAGCCTAGTTACAAACGGATCATTGAGTGCCTCCCAGCTTTTTCAAGCCCCTCTGAGAACACGTTACATAGCTGGGTCTACATTCCAGATTTCTACAGAATTGCACTTAATAAATTAGGATCTAACATTATGCCCTCCCTTGACATATGATGTGGAATGCTTCTGCGGTTTTGGTAACATTTATCTTGCCGACATTAATCATCACGTTGTATCAATGTATCCTGTACAAAACCACAGAGCAAATTCTTTGTGGAAATCAAGGTCAGGAAAAAGTTTCTCTCTCATCATGCACTGTGTGAGAATGGGCAGGGAAATCACTTGTTGGGCACCCCCCAATGTGGTCATGTCCTGTGATGGGTGCTTTCTGGAGCTGATGTTTTATTTTTGCCTTGGCTACCAGGAAGCCCAGAGCTTCCGTTTTGGTGTGAGGCCGAGGTTTGAACTTTTCTGCTGCTTATTAGCTCTGTGCAAAATGAATGAGGATACGTTATCACACTACCCACCTCAGAGGATTGCTGGGAAGAGTGAATATGTAAAGAAAGCACTTAGCATAGAACCTGACATAAAATGCACACTCAACAAACATTAGCTATTGTTATTCAGCTTTTCTGACAAAATTAATTGCCTCCTGCTACCCACTTTTATTACTTGTCTCTACTCTTTTTTGCTGTTGGTTTAATCATTTTCAGTTTCATGTATTTTGTTTTGCAGTATTATGTTTCTCAAATCCTGTTTGGAAGAAGGTGAGGTATACATAAATGAGAGGTTCGTATCAGTAGAATTTCTGGACAGAAAGAAACATCTAGAATAGCACTCTTTAATAGAAATATGTGAATCACACGTGTAATTTCCAATTTTCTAGTAACCATATTAAAAAAGTAGGAAGCTTGGTGCTTTCTCAAAAAGTTAAACATGGAATTACCATATGACCCAGCAATTCCACTCCCAGATGTATACCTGGAGGAATTGAAAACAGGTGTTCAAGCAAAAACTTGAACATGAATGTTCATAGAATCACTATGTACAATAACCAAAAAATGGAAGCAACCCAAGGGCCTATTAATGGATAAATGGATAAACAAAAGGTAGCATATCCATTCAGTGGAATACCATTCAGCCATAAAATGAATGAAGTACTGATACATGGCTACAACATGGATGAACCTTGAAAACATTGTGCTAAGTGAAAGGAACCAGACCCAAAAGGCCACCTGATGTATGATTCCATCCATATGAAGTATCTAGAACAGGCAAATCCAAACACATTGCCAAAGATACAAGGTAGAGATTTAAGATTGTTACCCTCCTCTGAAGCCTGTTGTATTTTCTTTTAGCAGGCAAATAAATTACTGCTGGATCACCTGAATTTGTGATGATTTGACTTTATGCTTGTTAGCGCAGATCCACTTGAATAATCCCCTAGTTCTAGGATGGATGCTTTAGTCCTAAACATTGTCTCTCCTCCTAGGTCATGGGTCTTCCGGGCTTTCCATTTAAAGCCGAGGTGTTTATCAAGTCCCTCGAGCATGTCCGTGCTCAGCCATCTCTGATGGGAAGCCGCTGAAATCTCTATTCAGTTTTCCAGCCTTCCTGGCATTGCTCACCATGAACCCTTAGAATCTCACCTGCACAGAAGAGTCTGAGGAATCACTCAAGGATTGGAGAGATGTTCATAAGAAGATTTTGGAGATTTGCCTTTGTGGTTCTCTCCTCTCTGGATTCCCCGCTCAGTAGGTAGCGGCTTTGGTAGCCATCCCGATCCTGTCTCCGGACCGCTCAGGACCTGATACTGTGGCTTTCTGCTTGACCTTTACCTGCCACATGCAGGCTGGATTCGGGACTGTCCTCAGTGGAAAAGCTGTGTAAAATGGACCTCTCCCCATGTGGTCCTTTTCTTCCAAGTGCCTTAAAACAGTCGTTTTTTACATTTTTTGTCAAGATGCGGTCATCGTTATCTGTAGAATAGTTAGCTCAATATAGGCTCCTCTGCCACTATCAGAACCAGAATTCCCAAATGGTCTCTTAAAAACATTTCTCTCCTTTTTGAAATCCTCCGTTCTTATCCATCACAGTTGGAATACATTCAAACTTCTTTCCCTGACGTGTAAAGCCCTATGTGACCTGGGTCCTGTGAACCTTTCTGTCCTTGCTGTGCCCCCAACCCTATGGGGCACATTCAATT